TCGGATCGAAAAAGAACGAAGAGAAGGAGATGGCGGCTAGGGAGTCACATGGTGGTGGAGGCTATTTCACTCATGGCGGATGGAACCTTTAGGTTTAGGGTTTGACATCGTGAGGGTGACGGGTTATATCCCGACTACTTTACACCTTTCGCATAATTACAACTCTGGTCCCTCCAGCTCCGGTTTAATTCAAATTAGATCAATATTTTACCTTTTTAACCCATTCCATCTAAAATCTTTACAATTCAACCTCATATGTTACAATTTAGTCCCTAAGCCTCATAATTATTTACACAACCGATCCAAAACTTACACGTTTAGCCCCCGACTTCTAATATTATAACAATTAACTCCTCAAGAGCACTCTTATTATAAAATTATTGATTTTAGGGTTACTATCCATTCATCAATTTCATATATTTATTTATTTATTTAATAAACGGGGTGTTACATCAAATCAGTCAAAAGTGTATCATAGGAACATATTATCAGAGTACAAATTCCCAAAATCTCAAAATGCGGAAATCATAGGGTGATACGATGCGATCAGCCCAGATCATTCCCCTTCAAACTGGAAGTACCTAAAACATAAATTAAAAACCGTAAGCACAAAACTATGCTACAGTTACTGCATCCTCCGAAACTTCTCCATATGAGCACATCCCCTAACTACCAACCAATTATCCGAGGTATGCAAATGGCATATGACATAATCACAAGCAAGCCACTCCATAACACAACACTTATACCACAATTGATGCAGAAACCATAACAATATAATCATAACATAAGCTGACAAAAACAAAGTTACATACCTCCATTACTCAGTGCTGCTCGAATCCCTGCTGAAATCTACCGGAGAAACTCGGCTCCGAGCCGTAGGCACCCTTGCCCGGCCTTGACAACCACTGACGGTACTTGAAGTTCCAAGGGCAGGAGCTGGCACCTGCCCTGCTGAATACAAACTCGGACAGTGGGCCTTCTTGTGGCCCCTCTGACTGCAATGGAAACACAATGGATCAAGTCCCTGGGCGATGGTAACAACACAGTCTCTGCTAAAATGACCAATCTGGCCGCACTTGAAACACCCAACATCGCCACCACTTCTACGCCTACACACACCCATGTGCGTCCTTCCGCACTTCCCGCATCGACTGCGGCTCTGATAGTTCCTCGTCCTCAAATCTGAACTCTTGGGCCTCTTACTCGAACCTGTGGCAACCTGAGTCTCATCCATTTTCCTCTTCCCTTCCGACTCCCTGCCCGACTCTCGCTCCTGCGTTACCCCAACGGCAACGTCTGCTGACTGAACAACAGATGTCTGATCCTGAAGCCTCGCTATCAATCTATCAGTGATCCTCACGACCATGTCTGGCAGACCCTCGCGAATGGCTCGCGAAACTTCCTCAACTATCCAATCATGCAATGGTTTCTCTTGGAGACAGAATACCCCACACACCCCTGCCCCCTGATAGCAGAAACTAGAAATGGGATCTCCCTCCCTGATGGATCCCTGAACTCCATAAGATTCGGGACCTAGACGAGCCCCAATCTGTCCTAAACTAACCCGGCCCTAAAGGCCTCAAGATGACTGTCCATGAGCTCCACAATAGCCTCTCTAACTGAACCGAAAATCACTGGAGTCTGATCGATGATGTTGCGCATAATCTCTGCGGAAATGAAATCCCTCATCTGATCATCAAGCTGTCCGGCTCTAAAGCCCGAGCCAGACCCCTCCCCTGCACCTGAACTGCCAACTGATATCTCGCACAACGTCACCATGCTGAAAATATAACAATCCCTGACCAATTACATACTACTGCTGAGGGATCTCTCACATACTCTACTAGTTCCTTGGTTTCGCCTCGGCCCCTCTTGAATCGAGTACGGATCCTCTGCTTTCAGTAGTATGGGCCCCTACTACCTTCCACATCTATCCGTACTTTCCTCAAGAGTTACCTCAACTCCACCAAGTCCCCTTTACTCTTCTACTGATCTCTGCTACTCTCATCCTAGGCTTGCCCTAGGGAACCTCTGACTCTACCCAAACAGTCCTCAGCTGCTGAAGGCCTCCTTGTAATGCCAATTAGCCACCACCTGAATACCATCACATGTGATGAGGCTCGGATAATCCTTCGAGTAAAAGTCTCGTCCCTACAACGGTTGGACTCAGACAAGAGCTGCGCAGTAGGGCCAAATCTAGCACTCTTAGATTATCCAACCCTAATCACATGTGATGTGACGTATTCACCTAATGGCTAACTCCCATCACTCAGAGTCCCACAAAGCACAAAGCAAGCAGCATTCGGATAAAGGAAACATACTTAGGCAAAACAATTCTCATAACAAGAAACTGCACTAGCATACAATGCTAAGCTCATGCTATCAGGCATAACCTACACAGGCTATCCTACTACTGTCTACTCAATACTAGCATGCAATTCTTATCAGCTGAAACACATAAAACAGGCACATAAGGCATCATCCTAGATCCTTAGTCTTATTCTAGCATGCTGTTCTACTGAAGCTGAAACTGAAACTGAAACTGATAATGATGATCATAACATAACTTGTATGGGTAAATTGGGAGTACTTACTTGAGCTCGGCTGATTGCATGCACCACACCCTTTTCTCGTTTTCAAAACTCTTTTCTTTCTAAGTTCTTTTTCCAAAACCCTTTTTCAAAAATGTTTTTCTTTTGAAAATCCTTTATCGTGTCCTTAGTTTGAGTTCAAATACACTCGAATGCATATCTGAATCCCTCAAACCAAGGCTCTGATACCAACTTGAAACGACCCAAAAATCACGACCAAAAAATTTCTTTAAAAGCATTACTAGAATCATATTTATAAAAACTGTATCATAAGTCATAACATAAATTCTCGAGTATTAATTCAAAACATAATATCATTATCAGAGTCAAACATTCCCAGGCTAACTGACTATGGTGTGTGCACTGCAATCTCCCGAGCTCCTCTTTTGAAAACTGAGTACCTGAAACCAAAACTGAAAACCGTAAGCACGAAGCTTAGTGAGCTCCCCGAATCTAACACATACCATACAACAACATATAAAGCACATACTGGGCCTTGCCCACTGCATCGGACCAATGTCCGGACTAACTGGGGCCTTGCCCCCTACATCGGACCGAAGTCCGGAAACTGACTGGGACCTTGTCCCCTGCATCGGACCGAAGTCCGGACTAACTAGGGCCTTGCCCCCTGCATCGGACCGAAGTCCGGAACTGACTGGGACCTTGTCCCCTGCATCGGACCGAAGTCCGGGCTAACTAGGGCCTTGCCCCCTGCATCGGACCGAAGTCCGGAAACTGACTGGGACCTTGTCCCCTGCATCGGACAAGTCCGGACTAACTAGGGACTTGCCCCCTGCATCAGACCGAAGTCCGAACTGACTGAATCATAGCATAGCATAACATATCAACTAGCATGAACACATATACTGCATACTACATCGGGCCGTAGCCCGGAACACATAACACATAACACATAACACATAGCACATAAATCCTGTCTGAGCCACGAAGGCATCAAACATACTAACTACTGCATCGGACCGAAGTCCGGAAACTACTGCTAACTGAACGGGCCGGCATTGTGGCCTTAGACCCGTCCCTACTGGAAGGAAACTCACCTGATGCTGCTGAACTGCTGCTGCTAATCCTTTTGACTGCTACCTGACCTCTGACTTCGACTGCTGCTCCACTAGCTCCTCAAGCTACCAATATCAATATAACACTTAGTCCAACTGACCTCCAAAGGTCACTAGGTCAATTCTGGTCAAGTCAAAATCCTGGTCAAAGTCAACCTTCCGGGTCAACCCTACTCGCCGAGTCTATCTACTGACTCGCCGAGTTCATATGCTCTGGGTCTTTCTTATTCGCGACTCGACTCGCCGAGTCAATCCATGACTCGCCGAGTCCAACTAGGTCCAAGTCCTGTCCTGTCCAACTCGCTGAGTCACCACCCGACTCACTGATTCGAGTCTCAACTCGAAGGGTTTAGGGTTTCGCGATCTGACTCGCCGAGTCCAAGAACAGACTCGTCGAGTCCTAGACAATCTTCAACCAACTCGTCGAGTTGCTCATCCAACTCGCCGAGTCCATGCCTAACTTCATCCGACTCGATGAGTTGTTCATCCTACTCGTCGAGTTCCTCCTCATCTTCAAGCTACTCGCCGAGTCCACTCGAAGGACTCGCCGAGTCTATCCAGTCCTCAATCCATGCAGTGGCTTTTCGAGCCAAACAGAGTTTCCAACTCATAGATCCATACTTCTAGGGACTATTCCCCACGTAAAGTGGCAAACTTTACGTGTAGATTAAGAGATCTAGGCTCAAAACACCCTAAACTTGGGTTTATGGCAAACATACTTCTTCAACATACCAAGGGCTGATACTTTAGGGGATTCAAGACCAAAACAAACATGGATCTGAGGTAGCAACCTCAGATCTGAACCTCCAACTCGGATTGGTTACATATCATACTAAAAATGACCAAAACTCACATATAAGAATAGATCTAGGTGCAAAGGGAGTCCAAGCAACAGCTTATTACCTCCAACTGGTCTGAAATGTCTTCTCAATCTCGGATCTACAGTCCCTTCTTGCACCTCCAAGGCTTTTCTTCCTTCTCCAAGCTTTAGTGCACTCTACAAGGCAAGATCTAGCTCAAAAACGGATATGGCGGCTAGGGTTTGGTGTTCTGGGGTAGAGAGGTAGTAAAGGAACCCTAGGAAGGAGAATGAGATGCTTAAATAGGCTCCAAGTTCCCGGATTTAGGGTTTTCCTCGTTCAGACCCAACTCGTTGAGTCTCCTTGGCCGACTCGCCGAGTCGGCCGCTTTCACCACAACCCGGATCCCGCTCGGACTCGCCGAGTCCCTCCATGGACTCGCCGAGTCTCCCCAAAACTTGATGTTTTCTTTCTTTTCTTGGCTTTCCAAACTTTGGGGTGTTACACTATGCGTGGAATTTTTTGCAACTATGGCATTCCATGAGAATGTCCAAGACCCTATATTTCCGCAAGCCTTAGTTTTTAGACTTGGGGGTGATTATTGTGAATGCAGTTTGGTTGAATTTTCCTGGAGAATAGGGTTATACAAGACTCAGGAAGTTATGACTCCAAAATTTGTTATGTTTTTGAGGGAGGCGACTCAAGTATATGAAAATGGGGCCTCGGGGCTTGAGTTTTGGAACAATACTGCATCCGTAATATTCAATTCTGGAGTGTCACCCGAGAGCAACATAAGATCCCCCATTTACTTCTTAGTACACCGATTCATCACTTTCTCCATGAATCATAGGCGTCATGAGGATAAGTTTATGAAGCAAAATTTGTTCTTTTTATGGTGCATCTTACAGCCAGGAGTGTGTTGTAACATTCCACATTTTCTGGCTTGCTTCTTGGCTGATTCTGCTGCAAGTCCTCGCCCTGGGAGCCCTATATGTGGGGGCTACTTCATTACTAGATCGGCCCATTCTTATGGCTTAGTCGTTCCCAACATTACCCGCTCGTTGACTTTCATGGAAGGTAACAATTTCACTATGGGATACTTGGAGACATTGAGGGTTGTTCGGAATTATGGGTCTCATTGGGGGCTTATTGAAATTGATGATGAGGGTGATGATGGAGAGCAGCCTGGTGAACAGTCTGAGCAACAACCACAGCCAAGGCATCAGATAAGGAATGTGCGAGGACAAGGAGAGAGAGGGCAACCGATGCATCACCCCGCACCTATGAGAGAACCAAATTTTGGGGGTGATATGGCCAAGTATTTCTATTCGCTTTCGTTAAGTGTCAATTGGATTGGAGGGACTGTGGAAAATCTGGTACAACATTTGCATGTGGAACAACCTCCTCACCTGGGGTATCATTACCCAATTTGCTCTTGGTTGAGTGAGTATCGAGGTCAAGGGGGAGATGGAGCCGGTACAAGTGGAGCACAAGATGAAGAATATGATGATTGAGTTCTTATTTAGTTTTTATTTTTTTCATTTGGTTTTTAAACTTGTTATGGTTTGTAAGACTTATAAGCTATTATGTTACTTTTATTCGTCCTTTGATGGCTTTATTTCAGATTTGCTTTGGAGTCTCGGAAAAGAAGGACGAGTCGAGAGCATATGTGTCTAGCCAAGGGTTGTCTAGAGTCTAGAGTCGCGAGTCGAGACCCACAATTGAAAATAAGTGTGGGGTGAGTCGAGAGAGACAGGATGAATTTAGCGAAATATCATAGAAATTATGCATTTAGAAGTGTCTTTATCTATTCAGATATTAGGGTGGAATACCAAAATTATTAAGAAGAATGGTCAGTTATAATTTTCAGACGCCCAGATCTTACGCCGTGAGGCTATATTCCTCACGTCGTGAGTTGGGTTACGAGGTGTTTCGAAATACACATTTCAGCGGCTTCACATCGTGGAGCATATTACCTACATCGTGAGATTTCTATTTTCACCATATTGAAGCCTTTTCGTTCCTATGCATTACATGGATCACCACCATTACATTTGGAGTTATTATGAAGACAATTATGGCTCGTTTCCTTCACTTTACAATGTGGCGTATGCTTTCCCACATTATTTACACCTTGGAGATTTGCACCACTTTTATTGAAGGTTGAAGTTTCGATTCCATATGCTGTTGGCACATTATATATTTCGCGAGTTCAAGGTCCAAGTTCCGATTTAGAAGAGTTCTATGTTCGAGATGCACATTTTAACCACACGTCAGGAGTTCGATCTCGCCACTACTTGTAAAATTCCAAAATTCGAGACCAAAAATTTCATTTTAATTAAGTTATTACATAAAATGGTTCATCAAAACGTTGCCAAAATCATGTTAATACATAAAACCATAATATCATGTCTCAAAACCCAATCATTTGAAATAACAAAACATCAGAGTACAATCCCAGAAAACTCTCAGTGGAAATTATAAGTGTGTGTGTGTGTGTGATGCGCTGCTACACTGCTGGCTCCTTCCCTTTGGACGAAGAGTTACCTGAAACCAAAACTGAAACTGTAAGCATTAAGCTTAGTGAGTTCCCCCATCATACCACATATCATACTATCACATAGCATACATACTACCGGGCAATTCTGGGACGCCCGTCCTGCCCATGTCAAGCCATTCTGGGGTGCTGACCTACCAATGTCAAGCCATTATAAAGTGCTGACCTACCCATGTCAAGTCATTATGGGGTGGCGACCTACCCATGTCAAGCTATTCTGGGGTGCCGACCTACCCTTCGGTCTATCTCAATCGAACACGGGGACAATTTCACTCCTATTACTAACACATAACATCATATAGCATGGCAACTAGCAAAGTAGCATACTCACATGTCTAGTAGTCTAACATACTCGCATATCCAACAATCAGACCAAACAATTATCACAAAGATAACCATTACAACTAACAAATTACTAGTGGATCGGACTTGGTGCCTTAGACCCACTCCTACTGGAAGGTAACTCACCTCGATGTCGTGTAGTATCTGAACTGTCCTCAGCGTGAAGGTCGGCTCTCCTCAGCTCCTCAATCCATACACGACAACCCTCAAGTCATCAAATAGAACATACAACCCTAATTAGGGTCAAAACCAAAACCCGACAGAGTCAACATTGGTCAAAGTCAACTCTTTTATTGACCTGACTTGCCGAGTTGGTCTACCAACTCGTCGAGTCCATACTCCACTAACCCGATCCAACCCCGACTCCATTCGCCGAGTCTAGCAAGAACTCGATGAGTTCTCCATCATTGAAACCCTCGGGACCATCTTCATTCGACTCGCCAAGTTCTTCCTTGACTTAACTCAGCCTCCCTCGTCCCTATCTCTTCCAAGAAGCTGTATATCGAAACCCTAACCGTTTTTTGTGATCTAAGGCCATTTTGTTGCTTTCGGGTGGTTTGTGAAGCTTGAAAGGAAGGAAGAAGCTTGGGAATTCGAGTTATGGCATGTAGATCTAGAGATCTTATTCCATCTTCAGCTCAATCAAGGTAAATCCCCCCCCCCCCCCGTTTTAGTCTTCCATTTAGTTATTCATCTTTAGGGCTTAGATTTTGAGTGCATTTAGGGTTTCCGAAGCCATTTTCGGATTTGTGAAATGATTCATGGGGTTCTACTTTCAGATCTGAGTCATTGGAGGGGTCTCATGGCGTAAAGGTGCCAACTTTATGGCCATGAGAGCCCCATGCACATTGTAGAGCACCTTTTATGGATTTTTGAGCTAAAAACTCCATGCATGTGCACCAAGTTTGGAACTTTACGTATAAAATGGACATTATGAGGGAAGATATATGGTTTTGATGTGTTAAGACCCATTTAAATCGATTGTATAGTAAGGGTCAAGAAGGGACTCGACGAGTTGTTCTTGGAACTCGTCTAGTCGGTGTGTATTGACCACCAAATCCTTTCTGTGGATGGACCAATTGCTTGGGAAGAAAGTCCGTAGATGCTTAGGCACATAAAGGGACCTGGGAATCATGGGACTCGATGAGTGTATGAAAAGACTCGGCGAGTCCAAGACAATCTCCCAACTGTTGTAGATGGACTCGACGAGTTGTTCATACAACTCGGTGAGTCATAGACCGGACACGTTTTTATGATGGAGATGAACTCACCGAGTTAAAGGATGAACTCAACGAGTCGGATGAAGATGGTCCCGATGATTTGAATGAAGGAGAAATCAATGAGTTTTGCTAGACTCGACGAGTCGAGTTGGGGTTGGATTGGGTTAGTGGAGCATGGACTCGACGAGTTGGTAGGCCAACTCGGCGAGTCGGGTCAACTAGGTGCTGAGTTGATTGGTTATGGTATTGACCCTGGTTAGGGTCATATGTTTTGTTCGATGACTTGAGGATTGTCGTGTAGGGATTGAGGAGTCGAGGAGAGTCAATCTTCACGCAAAGGACGGTTCAAACACTACACGACATCGAGGTGAGTTACCTTCCAGTAAGGGTGGGTCTAAGGCCACAATGCCGATCCACCAACAACGGTATTTAGTAGATGATTGTCTTTGTGATAATTATCTTGGTTTGGTTATGTGAATTGGACATGAGATATGCCTACATGATATGATATCTGTGTCAGCGGTAGTGACGGGGAATAGTCTTTCCCTAGCATATGTCGTTAGGACCAAGGGTTAGGTCAGTACCCCGATATGCCCGACTGTATGTTTATATCTTGTTACTGTATGCTATTGGTGTTGGGTTTTGAGCAATCTAACACTTCTTAAGTGTGCATGAAACCCTATAAACCTTGGATCTATGTTTTCTTCTAAAATACATGCAAATAATAATTTCCAAGGTTTCTTCCTAACTAGCATAGCATAAGGATTATGAGTCACAAAACTACTAGTAGAAATACATACCTTTTGATGGTGGTTGATTGCTTGGAGTTTGAGAGCCTAGCACCAATAATGTGAATGCCTCAAATGTAATCACAAATCACCACAAACTTGGAAAAACCTTGAGAGATTAATATGCTTATGTAGAAATCGGCCACCCTTAGTTCTCACACAACTAGTTGCCCATTCTTGCAATATGTGCATCTTTATATAGTGTGGAGGATTAGGGTAAACCCTAATAACCCATGTCTTTTCCTTTCCAAGGATCCATGGGTTAAAATCTCCATGGATCATCCATGGACCCCCATGCATGCTTAGCCCATTCCTAATGAGTTTAAGCCCACATTATATAAAATGCAATAGCCCATGTTTAATTAGTCTTCGTTTTAATCACTAAATTAATTCATAATTAATTTAAGACTAAAACTAATTAAATAAAATGACTTCATATTAATATATTATAACTTATAATATATTAATAAATCATAAACATACTATTCTCATAAGATTATCCATATAAATTGTTCGGGTGAAGTGCAACCCAAATGGACCATGCCGGGTCGGGTCAAGTATATACAAAATAAGTTATGGACTTAGACACCTTATCCAACAGTCTCCTACTTGGATAAGTCTAATAACTGTATTTGCGTATGTTACTTCAAGAACCAACCAGCAATCGTAGCTCTCGAAAACTCTGTTGAACTATGAAGCGCCAATTTAGATAAGTGATCATATAGTCCTCTGTTCTCATGATATCAGCCGGACAAATACATGGAACAACGTCGTACTTATTGTCCAACAGTTTGTTTCCCGATTTCCGATTTGTTTGACAAAGAACTTAATCGAACACATCAATTTAGTTCTGACCGGCCGGTACATAGGTCACAACAAAATCATCGAGGGGCTCAGATATCGCTTCTATTTATAGAAGGAACAGATAAACTTCGACTCATATGCTTGTTCTACTACTTGTTGAATTGTACACAAAGGCACGTTTTATAACATCAAGTTACTGATGCGTTTACATGCAATCAATGCATAACCAACTCATAGGTAACAACTCATATCTCTAGGTTTGAAGATTTATATGATATTACCGTCTCACGATCACTCGAGATAAATTCCATGAAGTGATACAAGTGAGCGTGGGTTTCTTCCAATACTCATAACTTATGAGCACTCATGAATGTCGTAGCTGTTGGGTTTTGAGCATTCTAACACTCCTATGGTGTACATGCAACCCTATAAACCTTGGATATATGTTTTCTCTATTATGCATGCAAATAAGAACTTTCCAAGGCTTTGATCCTAACTAGCATATTATGAAGTTCTTATTCTACAAAGTACTAGTTAGATGACATACCTTTTGATGTAGCTTGATGTCTTCAAGCTTTAAGAGCTTAGCCCCAATAGTGTGGAAGCCTCAAGTGGAATCACAAATCACTAAAACACCTTGGAAAACTTTAGATAATATGGATACTTGGTTCTCTCTAGTGAAATCGGCTAGCCCTTCTTAGTGTACCACACTAGTGCCAATTTCACCAACGAATGACATCTTTATATAGCATGGAGACTAGGGTTAAACCCATGACCTTTCATTTCATATGATCCATGGGTTA